ATTTCGGACAACCCAAAAAGTGATTTAAGTCTGTGTCTAGCATTTGATCAGTCCCACATGAAATCAATCAACGCCTAAATAACACAAATAATTAAAATAACTCCGTTCCAAAACAGCATAGCCCTTGAAGTTAACTGTTTGGCATTCCACATAAAATAATCTTTTCGATTATTCCTTTAATTCTTTTATTAAAAGATATTTATTATTATATCTCACTGGACATTCTTGTTATTTTTGACTTTTCCGCACACAGTCCACCATCGCTTCGTGCAATTTTCTATTTCATCTCTCGTTGACATTGGTATCATTTTGGAATTCTTCCTTGATCAGCGTTCCTCTTCTGATGGTGGCCTGTGTTGGCCTGTAGTAGCCTGGTGCTAACTACACCAAACTACCACCTTGAGGGACGTGTGTTCAAACCCCACCACCACTGCCTGATTTCCCCATGGCCGCCCGTTTCATTGGGCGCTTCCCCTTCCTGAAATTTATATTATATATATATATATATATAATATATATTATNNNNGAATCTTATAGTTCCCTAATATGCTAAGAAATAACTACGCCTGATTTATGGTCCATTTTTATTTAATTATGTAAACGAACTTCATGTATATAATACTTTGATATTACCATAGGTTCCCACTGTATGTCTACTACAATCGTTTGAGAATGTTTTTTCTTCAATGTTGTACAAAGTGATCTCTTTAAAAGGTCAGGTCAGGTCACAGAACTTGCTGATGCTTAAAAGCACCAAGACTACGAGCAGCTGTGGTACCCGGTTCCATGCATTCATCACCCGATGCGAAGAAAAATGGGCTCTAATACTCCTTGTTGCCCTGAGATTTTCCAATTTGCATCCGTTACCCCTGGAGTTAGTGTCGCGGCATAGGTACAGCAGCGGTGTTTCCGTTACCGAGGCGCCGGCCAGCTGCTTGAAGGCCTCTATGAGGTCACCTTGCATTCTAGTTCTGTTCAGGGCGAACAGGTTTAAACTCCTGAGCCTCTCGCTGTATGAAACGTCACTCATGCCTTTTACGACCTTCGTGAACCTTCTTTGTACCGTCTCCAGGACCTTGACGTCTTTCACCAAAAAAGGCGCCCAGGCCTAAACGCAGCACTCTAGATATGGCCTCACTAGGGCCTTGTACAATGAAACCATCAACTTTTCCACTTGAGAGGCTACAGCCCTCAGGAGTTGATGGAGTGCCCTATTATCTTTGGCCGCAGCTACCAGACACTGAGGCGTTGGTTTGAAGGTCTGGTGTATGACGATATCCAAGTCTCGAATGTCTTCACTACTCGTTAGACGTAGATGACTTTCCGTAGTCGCATTTTGCCCATCGCTAGTTGTACCGACTAAAATCAGCTGTTGGCACTTGCTTAGGTTCAGCGGGAGTTCCGATTGAACTGTCCACTCCTGGATCTTGTTCAGCTCCTCTTGCAATCGTGGCACATCTGGCCGACCTACGACTTTGACGTCGTCGGCAAACAAGTAGAGCGGCAAGCGCAGACCACGGACCATATCGTTGATGAATACAAGGAACAGCACCGAACCTTGGGGGATGCCAAGCTTCCGCAGACCCTGACAAGTAATGGCAAGACAGAAAATTAGGAATTGGAAGATCCGCTCGGGGAAAAATGCGCAAAAACGAGTTCAAAAAACAGAAACAGAATAGCGACGAAGAAAGATTCATAATTTCAGAGGCAGAGCTGCAATCGAGCTGAAGGAGAGTACAGTAATTCAAGAAGAGACGACAGATAGCATATAAATAAACTGTTTTATATGTCGATACAGTTAGAATGACTTCTGTGATCACTGAACAATGAGCTTCGGGGCTTCACCGTTAACGGAGTGATTGGTTTTTATTTATATTATTGAGGCTTTGGTCACTTTGATGTGGAACTGACTACACGCTAGACACCTAACCTTAAAACACCTTGTAGGTGAGGCAGGGGGTGTGATCCTCAACCTGGTCCGGAATGCGGACGCATGGGGTCAAAAACGGTGGATACAACCGCGCCCAACAACCATTGCCGGAACCAAATTGTCCATTGTGGGTGTCGACCCCAAGCCTTCAGCAGGTCCAAGCCAACCAAATCTGGAATAAAAAGGGCAAAACTCGGCAGTCTAGGGTAATATCCAGCTGAAAAGGGAAGAGGGGAACAGCATGTTGCGAGAGAATATGCGGAGAACGTAAGTGCCCGAAAGTATATATATTGATATATATTTAAAAAGAAAGTGCACACACAAAAACGCAGGTCTAAAAGATGAAGCGAATCACAGGAAGGAAGTATTATGTCAAGAATTGAGGTTGATAAGTGTAATGTAGTTTTCCCCCTGAAAGGTTTGGGTTCCACAGATCTAGCATAGACGCCCGACGAGTGAAGCGATTAGGGAGGAGTTGATAGGTGAACAATAATGCCACGTCAGACTGTGCCACGAGGAAGAGATAGCTCAAAGGGATTAAGATGGATAAACAGACAAGAGATTAGAGGAATTATGGAGGACAAACGTTGTGCGATTATTCGGATAAGAGAAATGTTTAGCACAAATCCAGTGCTGAAGGTCGAACAGTGCACCAAAATAAGCTCAGCTACTGCATCAGAATGTGTTGCTGTTATGTTGGTTTCCACCTGAAAACCTTTGCACTACTGAGCAAGCTTTGAAGCATAACCAGTGTACTGCTTAGAAATGGGTTGAAAAGTAATCACTGCTGCCTGGTCAGCATGTGCCACGGAGAGGAGGTGGATAAGGGTTAGAGATGAAAGAAGAGACCAGAAATTGGGCGGTAGTTTGATGGATCATGGGTGGGACCCGATTCGTGAAGTGGGATGATGGTAGATTGTTTCCATTGAGATGGTACAATACCACCGATCAAAGAGAGGGAAAATAGTTTTAACAAGATAACGGGTATGTCAGGTCCTCCAAAGCATATGGCACTGGGGGGTAGTCTATCTTGTTCAGGGTGAGAGGGGGGCTTGTTTGCAGTGAGAAGACTGGCAATGTCACCGTAAAGCAGGTGACATTAAAAGAATTGGCTATGGATATAGACAAGTTGGCAGGGGTGGAAATAAAGTCCCTGGTGAAAGAGGAGGTGACCACGGAGTTTAGGGCTTCACAGATTTCCTGTGGGGAGGTGACAGTAACGTTACCAAGAAGGTTAAGGTGAGAAACAGAGTAAATATTGGTTTTGTTTCTCGCTCTACTCAGCTTGGAGATTTTCCAAACTTGGTTAGGATGTGATAAAGCTTTAAGTTCTTGGTTTCTATGAAAATGATTAGTTTTATTTTGGATCGTCTGTGAGAGCGAATGCAGCTGCATGAGGAGAGAAAAGTCATGGGCAGTCTGGTGTAGCCTAGTTATTTTATTAAATTTTTTGCATAATCTATAGAGGTGAGAGGGGGTCGATGGGTAGGTAAGGTATCCAGGATTAACGATAGGAGGCAGTTAGAAAGGTTGTGGTAAAGTATATCCGCCGCAGCTTGTGGGTTAGAGGAGAGAATGAAACCAGTCCAATCCTGGAAGCGAATCAAACTGGGTAGGGAAGACCAATCAGTAATAAGGAGAGGAACCTTGGCTGGAAGGACAGAGCAATTGGACGGCTGAAGTGAAAAAGTACATTTCACCATTCTATGGTCACTCCCTGGGAAGTGGTCCAGGATAGATGTCTGAGAAACTATTAGGTATTTTGTGAAGATTAAGTCCAGAACATGATTTACCCTAGTGGGGGATTCCACGTGCTGTGTCCAGCCCCCAGACGTAATGCTAGAAAGGAAAGGAGTCAGGTCGTTTGGTGCTGTTGAGGAGGACCAAGAGATACTAGGTGCGTTGAAGTCACCTGCTTCAATTATGGGTTCTGGTGCGAGGTCAGCCAGGTAGTTGAAAGCTTCAGAAATAGGATAAAAGTCATGGGATGTTGAAGGGGGGCGATAAATACAACCAATAATCATGGTTTGCGAGTGACGTGTGCCGCTTAACCAAATCGATTCCTGTAAGTTATCTAAAATAGGGCTGCTTAATACACCAGCTTTTAGAGGGGTTTTAACATGCTGAAGGCAACCACCAACACGGCGGTATTGCCTGTCTTCCCTTAAAAGCTTGTACCCAACCAAGGTGAAGAGCGCTGAGGGGAAGTCCTTCTGCAGCCACGTTTCAGTGATCATGGTGACATCTAAGGAATTAAAGCGTGCAATATGTTTAAGTGACTCCATTTTATTATTGATCGAACGGGAATTAATTAGAAGAAGTGAGAGGTTAGAGGGACTATTCAGGGGAGGTGGATAGGGGAGTCTGTACATATGGGGGTGTTGAACGCTGGTTTTCATATGAGTATCGTCAATAATTGAGCCAGACTGAGGAAGCTTTATTATTATTATTATTATAAGACCGTTTAATGAGGTTTAAGATACGAAAAGCGGTTTCTTTTGCTTTTCGTTTGTGGGAAGAAAAAGAGAGATTGCTGTTCAGCCAGAAACCAAAACTTTTGTGTTGATCCACCAGTTGGATTCGGGTTGAACCGTTTACCCAGAAAGGTTGACCAGGAGCGTTACCAAAGAACATGCTTGCACATTTTCCGTTATTGATTGGTAAGCTTCATTCGACTGACCAAATGTTTGGTTTGGTCAATTGCCGACTGCACTTTGGATGCGTTTGTGCTCCGGATAATGGCTTCATCCGCGTACATGGGGGATTCATTGGTAATGAAGCTTGTCCAGCATTACCGTCTGCACATGTCTCGGATTTGAGACGCCGCACATGATTAACTGCATCTTCCGCAGCTAGCAACAAACCCATTCGGCGTTTACGTTTACTTCTCTCTGGTTCCAACTCCTCGTGAAAGCGAGCAGAAGCACTGAGGACAGTTGTTTTCACTGCGCCATTTGTCTGCCCAATGGTAGTGGTGTATCCCACACCACTATCTGTCTTGACCACCAAACTAGTGCCAGACCCATCGATATCATGAAATTAGTATCGTAAACCTCCGCCACCGAAATTAATTCCGGGATCATTCGGAGCATCACCACCCCCACTGACACTGATTCGACCGCGACCGCGTTGTCTCCCGGATACGCTATCCGTCTGTCCAGGGGTAAAAGTCGTAAATTCGATCATATAAAACTGAAGTAATTCGAGTGCTACGCGTTGGTGATCAAACTATATGGATTGCGTATCGATGTCTTGTTTTACTTAGACTCATCAACCTAATCCCCGCGTAGTGTAGAAAAAACAATCTATGCGTTAGGCTATCCACGAATACTACAACAAATAAGTACTTCGATTAACGCGGATTGATTACACGAACAGTGTAGAGAAACTAAAAGCAAACAAAATCACAAAAGCTGAACAGAAGAACAGCGTGCGGCATAGCCGCACACGTGGAAGACTCGTGGTTCCGCCAGCACACAAGGCTCGACAGGGTGAAATTAGAACTCAAGTTGCAAGGCCAAGCAGCAAGAGCTTCACTGAAATCCCTATCAGATAACTCTTACAAGGTGGTTAGCAATCTTCTGTATCCTAACCGACTTGCAAAGGGAAATGGTAGCAGTAGCATAAGCATGGGTAAAATCAAAGCTGCAAAAGCGAATAAAGTGGAGGCCAAAAGACCGAGGATTTGTGATTTAATGTACACATTAATTTCATTTACTTCAATGCGGATCAAAGCGGCGGCAGCTTCACTGACACCGTAACAGGCACCCGATTGGAGACCCAAGGATGCGGCCAATCCAAATGGGGTTCCGAATCTCGACAAGTTATCTCCACCGCCTAAACCGGTTCAGCTGGTCACTCCATTTACTGCAGTAGCAGTGTCGGCATGATGTCCTCCATGAGATAGATGTGTCTCGTATACCTGTGGTGCTGGATTCGGAGAAGCCACTGGTTGAGGCTGAGTGGGTATCGGTGGGGAAATCTGAGATGACTCGCGACAATAGGATTCTGTGAGGTGAACTTTGTGACAGATGATGTGTTACCCATTTGGGGTGTAGCATTGTAAAGTTGTTGTACTGGGGACACAAAACCAATGTGTGTCATGGATTGTATTGGTTGCTGTGCATTCGATAGAGGCATACCGAAGCCGGGGATTACACCAAATTGGTGGGTATAAGATGCCGGGGCCACTGGATGCTGCTGTTAACTGCTTCCGACCATCGTAAAATAAGGGTTAGGTTTCGGATAGGCTGTGAAGTTGAGGCCCACGGGCATTCCAGCTCGTAGAGGCGTCCGATTAAACAAAAAGTGAGATGCTTTTTGGGGGGGGGGGCGTTGCTGCTGTTGTATCGATTGTCACTGCCATTCTACTTGGCGTCATGGGACAAAGATTTTGCATTACGCTTGGGTCGATAGCTATAGATGACATTGATACACATGCAGGATGCATAAGCTTGGTTTGACCATCGGATGAAGTGTAAACCTGGCTCAGAGAATGGATCGCAAGTTGTAGTCGCAATTCAACGCAACTAGGAAATAGGATATATAGAGCGAGTGAGTTTCAAGCCCGCGTGGGGAAAGAATGTGATTGTAATGATCGATCTGTGAAAATTCTTCCTGTAAAGCTCAGTCATTCCATCTCGGTTCCACATTTCGTGAAGTTTACGTTCCATTCACCAAACCTCATCCGCCTCACATACATATAGACATTTGACGTTCCGCTCCTCTTGTATATTTACACATCAATCTAACCATTTGACTTTGTTAGTTTATCTGCTTCATTTTTACCCTACTTGTTTCAATCGCGACTTGAGCGCTCACATTTGGCTCGTTCGTGTGCAGCGTGACGGTGAGCGTGCTATTCTTACCCAGGCTCATTTTCTTTTATTCAGATTTGTTGAGTTACGCCCACAGTAACACTTGGCTCTTGTTTTCAGGTTATTTCGAGATCACTTTGAGGTTTTTACATATTTTGTTTGCTTATTTGATCGCTTATTACCGCAGTACCGTAGAAATTTGCCGGATCGTTCGTTTTGTTGACGCTTGTGGATTCAATTTCGGCTACGCGTTGCTCGTTGATCTATTCGGGAGTTGCAGTGATACTTTCCGCACCACCCTGTAAAGAACCCTAGAAATCCAGAGAAAAGGCGCATGGTATTCAATTGTGCGGTGAGGTATGGTGGTCTCTACCTTACTGATTGTCTATTGGATGGACCGGATTGCACCAACCTCTTGATAGACGTGCTAAATCGATTCCAGCTGGTGGCAGTTGCTGTTTCAGCCAATATACAAGAACGTTTCTTACACCTTAAGATACCAAAGAAATATCACGACGCCTTGTGACTACTATGGTATCCTGGGGGCGACGTACAGGGCTCGACAGTAGACTATCGACTGACCGTTCACCCATTATGGGCATTATCTTTACCTTTTAGTGCCAAATATGCACTCCAGCGGACAGCTTCACAACATGGTGTCGTCTAGTGCTAGGAGTAACTTTTATGTGGACGCTTCCCTGATCACATTCAATGATACAGAAGTGGCTTCTCAATACTTATTGTAGAGAAAAAAACCTACTGAAAAGAGGAGGCTTTCGTCTCACTATATGGTTGTCCAACTCGCGCGAAGCTTTATACAGTGTCCCCGAGCCAGAAAGATTGAACGGTCTTTTCAGCCTGACTACACAACCACTCCGTGTTGAGCCAACCCTAAGGGTACGTTGGAGCGCGGAGTCAGACGAGTTTATCTCTCTACTTCGACTACCTGAGAGGAACCTCACCCAGCGAGGACTGCTATCGTCAGTCTGCAGCTTGCACGACCCGCTTGGATTCGTCGCATCGTGGGTGCCACCCGCAACAGCTGTGTTGAANTCAGCCCTTGGAGGAGCAAGATCGTTAAGACTGGGAACGAGGGTCAATCGGCCTAGCCAGACTACGTGAAATCCGGATCCTGCGCCAACTTAGTCGAACCAGTCAAGTAACGAGGGCCGATCTGCTCCTATTCTCTGCCTCGTCCAAAATGGGATAGGAGTAGAAGCCTAAGAATGTCCGTCCGATTCCGTCCGACTCGACTCACCTGCGTGGCACATGCTGACCAGGCAGCAGTGTTCACCTTTTCAAACAATTTTCAAACAGTACACAGGTCGAGCCCCAAAGTTAGATGGGTTGAGTATGAAATTTCTTGGTAAATACGCACGCAAGTATTATGACCCGCAGTTTTTATCCCATGTTCCATACCACCGTTCCTTATATTTTCTCGCAAGACCTTTCAGCAGGTGTTGAGTGCATATGTGAACCATGCTTTCTCTGTCTCTCCCTTCCTTAATTAGCTAATTCCCAACCTTGACTGCTTCCATTTATGACATTTTTCAGAGACCTTGATGAACCAATTAAAAGTAAATATTTTTCATGGACCTGATTGAAGACTGATCCCACAGTTTCAATGACGCCGCGGATACTAATCCAAACTAGATGAAAAATTGGAGCGGGCTCATATGTTCACCGTGAAAGCCTAACTGAACTCGCAGAATGGATCTAGGTTCAAATTACTCCTCAATGCCTGACTATGAACGATTGATCTGTTATAGCATTTTTTCCCATGCTCTCCCCTACGAAGCGTGCTATTTTTCCCGCGCTGTGACTATCATTATGCTCATCCTAAAGTTTCCCTCAACAATTAAAAAAAGACACACTATCTTTAGAATCTTTTATGGATGTATTTTACAAATAAAAACAACCATCCACTTGCAGATAAGCAATTAGTTATTCAAATTTGATTCTTCATTTTCTCGTTCCATATTAATAATGATATAGTTATATTTCACGAAGCCCCGTGAAGCATGCATAAGCATAAAAATACGTACAACACAACTATGAGTGCAAGATGAGTGCAAAAATTGAAGAGCTTAGTGCACAGGGTGGAAGGAGTAGGCAAGTGGATCGAACGCTGTAATGCACTGGACCACAAAGCGGACAAGGTCACAGAGGAGTGAGGTGAGGATGGCGGTAAACCTTAAGTGAGAATGACAGCGGAAATAGAAAAGAGCGGGAATCAATGTACACAATAATAATAATAATAAAAATGGTATATTTCTCGGATTACAANAACAATGGCCTCAAATAACACACAACAAGATCTGGGAAAATGGTCATGATATTTGTAAAAGCGAAGTATAATAGGGAATTGTTGGGTGGAATAAGTTGTTGTTTTATTGCTCCATTTCACAATTGTAGCGCAACCCAATTTCAACTTCAAGGTCACTAATAAACTCAGAGTGATACACTTCCGTAGAATGACAAGATAAACGTAGATATGTATAGGGATGAATAATGATGAAAAATATGAAAAGTAATTGGT